AATGTGTTTCTATAATTTTTGAGATATTGAGGGTGTTAATTAAAAAATTTAAATTTAAATGTCAAAAATTTTAGGTGTATCATGGTAATCTCTTGAATTCATCTGTGTTGTTTGTAAGTTTTAAAATTTTAGAATTTTAATGTGCTTGTCTGTAATTTAAACTTTTGAGGGTGTTTTTATAATTTTTGAGACATTGAGGTGTTAACTGTAAATTTTAAATTCTTTGCAAACTGATGTTAATTTTTTAATTTCATGTTTTTTATTTTAAGTTTTGAGACATTTTGGATGAGTTTTATAATTTTGAACTTTTTAGGGTCTTTTCTGTAATTTTAAAACTTTTTATGATTTTTTTGTAATACTTCATGTATTATAATATGTTATCTACTTGTAATTTCTTTATCTTAACAAACTAATTTTATTTTTATGTTTTATATATTTTATTAATATTAGTTTTTTTAAATTGTTAAGCTAAACATGGTTCACGTAGGATTAGGATAAGATATGACTATGATTAGGATAGATTAAGATATAAATAAAATATTCAAAATAGTGAAGGGTAATATTGACCATTGAAAATTAGAATTTGATTATAGATAAGATAGTTCAAACTATAAAGGGGTATATTTGTCTAAAAAAGATTTTCCGAACTCGTGCTTTTAAAGGGAGTATGATTTGCATGCGCTACATAATTATATGTGATTGCTTTGATATTTATGCTTACTAAAATAACCGAAATAAAATCTCTAAAGTTAGATTTTTGGATTCTATTCCAAGCACACTATAATTGAATAAGATGGCTGATTTATTTATTGTAGATAGATGGAGTAATTTGTATTATCATAATGACGAGATGTACAAGAATAGTTTGTTGCATCAAGACATTTTCCACCAATTACGATCAATTTTGGATAAATATAAACTTTGTTATTGTTGTTCGCAAGCATAGTATATTTCAAAATAGTTTTTTTTCTCTCCATGAAATGGTATATCTCATAAAAATAAAAAAGATACCTTATACTGAGAGAAAAAAATAGAGAGGAAAAAAATTATCCAATCTGAAAGAATTAGCCATCATCATCAACGTTGTTATTATTATTATATATACGTAGATATAACTGAGTTCTCATTATGTTAAAAAATGATTTCAAGTGTTGCAAAATAAAAATATCAATGATGCTTATCAGGCTACACCTTCCGAAACTATTCTCAAACTACCAAGGGGAGAAGCGTTAGTTCTTTGATAATTCATAGATTTTAATAAACATTAAAAAGAAACGACCAATGACTTCTCTCTAAATATATATTATATGTATTTGATGATTATGAGATAACCACTTATTTAGCAAAATGGGCTATATATCAAGAGATGAAATAATGTGACTAGTATGGTGAGTCATATTACCAGTGTATCTCTTAATAGTTCATTTGCTAAATAAGCTATCACCTCATACCTAATTTTTTCCTTCATATTATATATTTTTGTATATTAAGTAAACATATATATTAGAAAATATAGGTTTTTGCATATTTACACCTCAAATCTTTTATATTTGCAAATTACTTCCTATATAAATATTATTATTTACAAAATTGCCTTACAGTTCTCTCACATTGGTTTTTTTTCTACCTCTCCCCTTTAACAATTTCAATTTTTAAATGGACGCTATTGCAAACTAATTGAAAATTATTGAGAACTTTGACATTACCTTGTTTAAAAAACAATATTCTTAAGTTGGAGGGGCAAAAAGATGCAATATGCTAGTCTTGAGGAGTAAGAGAATTAACTCACTACAACATAAGTTATAAATTATGATACATTTTTTGTCTCTATGCAACACATTTTTGTGTCGCACAAATAGAGCATGACACATATCAAAAGTGTGGTTAGAGCTTGTATGGAGAGTATATATCTTTCTACACATATGAGAACGTGTCAAAAAACTCACATCACATATATATATTGAGAGTAGTGACACATACATGTGTCACAAAAACTCGTGACGCATATATGTGTCAAGAGTGATGCCACATAATTATATCTAGATCAATATTGTCATTCAACACCATAATTTCCCCAAAAATCACTCATCCTAGGATTACTCTTACCAAAGTACACTTAACTATGAAGTTTTTTCAACTTATACACTATCATAAATAATTAATCATCATCTTTATGATTTATTATTTAAGCCCGTTAATAGATACTCTCACAATTCATATTAGGCTATTAGTCTTTTGTAATTATATTTAATTGTATATCTAATCTAATAACACAAATATGTGTGGTGATTTGCTATACTTTTTATTTATGTCACTATCATTTAATTATTTGTAAATAAAATAATACTTTCACTAGTAGAAAACGGGGTTTTGCCTACGGAATAATAGCGACAGAATATTCCGTCGCTATAACATATTTATAACGACGGAAAATTCCGTCGCTATTATTCCGTCGGAAAAACAGTTTTACCGACGGACAAATATTGTTTTAGCGACGGAAAAAATTCCGTCGCTAATGTTTTACCGACGACTTTTTAGCGACGGAATTTCCGTCGCTAAAACCCATTTTAGCGATGGAAATTCCGTCGCAAAAAAAGTTAGGTGGGAAAAAAATGGGCGCGGGCGTGCCCAAAAAATTTGGGCAGCCCGCGCCCGAGAGAGGGATTTATCCCAAATCCCTCTTGGGTTTTGGTTGCTTGGATGGCTTCATCATTAGACTGCAGCCTGAGGTTCTGAGCTTTCCTCTGGTCTTCTGGTGGCAATCCCATCTGCCCCCTGAAATGTTGTTTCACCGAATTGTAGCATGTTTAAGTGAAAAATCAGAAATAAGCAAAATAAATAATAAGAAACTGATAATAGATAGCCTACTGATAGAATGATTGAACTGATCTGATGCCCTGAATTTAAGATATTTATGTGCATTACTCAATTACATGCTCCTTATTCATGTA